AAATTGTTTCCATTTTCAAAAAAATCGCCGATCAAAGAGATTATAACACCATTTTCTTGCATCTAAAAAATGAAAAACAGTGTTTATTTACTACCTATTTTTCATATACATGGGACTCAACGTAAGATTACTGCAGAAACGTCATTTTCTCCAGGATTCTTCATGTAACATATATTTTATATACTTTATTACCTTTATAATTATAAATTTCAGCCGAAATATTAAATTGAACTTCCAAAACGAAACTAAACGGAATGAATTAAAATGGCGTCGAATATTTTCGAATTTGTTCTAGAACAAATCTGAAGTTGTCTCTGAAACTATCTGTCAATTCTAAACTGTGAAGTTAGACAATAGATAGACAAAAACAATGCTGTCCTTGTCTAGGCGGCTATACTTGTCGTGAGGAGAATGACAGGAATGACACTAATGACTGTTTCCAATTTTCCTATTTCACTGTCACCCTCCTGGTCGTCCGCAAAAAGACATATTTTACCACTGATGTTTATGTTAGCAATGTCGTTAATAAAAAGAAGAAACAAAATAGGGCCTAGTACTGAGCCTTGAGGTACTCCACATTCTAAGAATTCACTGAAGATTGATCACTGTCAATTTAAATGTAAAATTATATAGGAAATGTGATCGATGTTCTTGTCCAAGCCAACTGGACTCCGTTTTTTTTCGATAATATGGTATAAGAATAATATGGTTAATAAACCATTTACACAATGAGTGGAAAGTGAAGCCCATCAAATGAAATGGGAATATCAATCTTGCGTAAGTTTATCCTTTTGGTTCAACACGATTTTTCTGCGCAGACCCCAAATAAATCGATCTGATTCGTCTACATCATCACCTGACCGCGCATTATTTTAAACTCTAATCTATACTAATATATAAAATCCTTAAGCGACTGACTCACTGATTAATCACGATCCTGCTCAAACCACTCAACGTAAGAAGCTCAATTTTGGCATACAGGTTGATTCTAGGCTGTAGAGGTTCGATAAGAAGGGATTTTTCCAAATTCCAGTTCCAAGGGGGTGAAACCACCCCTCAAATATTACAATATTTTTTATTTAGAAAACGGTCAAGTTTCCGAAAAAACGCTTAAACACGTACTGTTTGACCAGCGGATCTGTAGCTACGGAAGGAATGCGAGAAAAAAAAATCGATATTGCCACGTTTATCTATAAAATTGCAAAATTGCCAGACATGAACTATAAATTTAATATATTTTTATTATATATAATGTGTTTAGCATATATTCTGACGTATATTACTAAGGAATTTTAACGTAGTTCATATTGTTCGATATGTTTTATTTAATAACTTATTTCTTTCATTCTGTATAATCTGCCTATTATGAAAGTTGAAGATTTTCAACGATATCATTGGCAAACCGGCATCGCCGCGCATGGCCGCCTATTCATCGAACATGATTGGCGAGTACGTCACAGGATTTGTTACCACGCGGTTGCCATGGCTTTTACGCCTTTCCTATTCGCTTGCTTTATCCCCAACTTCACGGTCTCTTCTGAAAAGAGTAGGAATATTGAATACTATTGAAATATCCAGTGGCGGTGTCATTTTTTTTGATCATTATTACTTTATTTCATTATTTTATACCGGTTATCCTAAACTTTATTCCTATATTTTTAGTATATTTGATAGTTAAGTTGTGTTTTATTGTTTTGTTATCTTGTTATAATGTTTTTCGTTCGTAGTTTTTAATCATTAATATCAAGTTTGATCGTATATTTGTGTTTTAAAACGAATAAATTTGTTAAGGATAAGACGCTACATAGTCAGACAAGAGAAATAATAGCTAATTTATATAGGTAAGTTAATAATAACGTGGATGAAATCTCATTTGGTATATTTCCTTGTGTTCATAATAGGGTTTGCGATGAAGAAGCTACAGAGAGTTCGCTTGAGTTGCCGCTTAAACGTAAACTTGAGCGGATATTTCTTTATACCGGAGTTAGCGTATCGGCTATAAAAAAATTCACACAGAAGATAAAAAAAAAGGCTGAAAACTAACCCCGATAAAATGATATCCTCTCTGGAAAGAAACGACCACGTGAGACTTCTGTCGAAAAGCTCAACGACTTTTTCGAAGTGGTCAGAAATTTGATAAATAGATTTTATCTCGAATTCAAACTCGTCCCCACAATTAGAAAGCTTTTGCAAAAATTGCAGGAAGAATCGAATTTTCCTTTTGCAGGGAAACGCTTAGGGGGTTATTAAAATCAAATGAATTTTTTTATGTAAATGTTAAAATAACAGATAAATATTAATGGAGCGGCCCATTATATTGCAGGGAGAGATATAAATATATATACGCGAAATTCGAAAATATAGCCAAGTATTATCTATTTGGATGTAACATATGGGTAGACAATGACCTAACCTTTAAAAAACTGCTGGCGGAGCGATACCATATCTGGTGTAATAGGCACTATCAGATCTACTGAGTAAAATTATGTTTTGTTTGCGCTTCCAAAGTTAACTATTTTCAAGATTTTTTTTTTGCTGGAAATAGTTATATCTAAAATTATGTATTATAGAAAAAAATATAGTTAGTACAGATATATAAATAAATATACCTCAAGACTCAGTCTTGATCATCTGCTGATCGCAGACATGGTTAGCGAAACGTGCGTCCAGTGTAAAATTAAAAGTGTTTTGGTGTATTGTACTGATTTAGTGTTTTATTTTGCTGTGTAACACCAAAGGTTCCCAACCCCCAGCTGTAATTATTTCTTCTATTATATTAACAACACAATAATAAAATGATTCAAAATATTTAAGGGAGCTTTAATAAAAGCTTTTAGTGCTTATCTGCTAACTCAACAGTAACGATTCAAACAGCATAAAGTTTTTTGAAAAAAATTATTAATCTGAGTATTATATTTATGATACACATTATTTTCATATAACACCGTACGCCCATGCCTATTTTATGAATGAAATTGGGCGTGTTTTGTTTACAACTGCGTTCCCCTGCCGATACCCCGTAGCTACAGATCCGTTGGTCACACTATATATTTTATTTTGTTTCTTTACATATTTTAAGATTTTTTAAAAATGTATACAGGGTGTTTTGAACAATCTGGTCATTGATTAATCACGATCCTGCTTAAAGCGCTTGACGTAAAAAGCTGATTTTTAGAAAACGGATTGACTTTAGGGTGTAGAGGTTCGATAAGAAGGGATTTTTCGAAACTCAAATTCTAAGGGAGTGAAACCACCCGTCAAATATTAGAATATTTTCGAGGGGTAAGCCGCAGAGGGAAAAGTGTACACCGTAATTCCCTTTACTCAAATAATTCCTCAGAATTCCTCGTAATTCCTTCGGAATTCCTTGGAATTCCTGGTCTTCAAGGTCAAGGTCAATCATTCAAGGTCTTCCTTGGAATTCCTTGGTATGAACTCGTTAACTCTTTCAGTCTGAACCAGCGTTGCCACCTCGGTTTCGCAGTTCCGCTATGAATTTTCTGGTGATTTTTATAAATGTCTAATGTCTCTATAAGTACTAGATCTAACAATAAAAAGTACTATTACGAGATTTACGTTTTTTTAGTTAAATTTTAGGACCAATAGGGGATCATGAGGTAAAATACTGGAAATATGTCGGCACTTACTTATTAAAATTAATTTTTCGGATTTTTTGAAAATGATAGGTACCTAGTTATACTCGTATCTATAGGAAAGGAAATTAATAAACTTCAGTTGCACGTCATAATACGATCACCAGTAAATTCCATAAGATTACGCATGGTATCATTGATGAAGTGCACCTAAAGTTGTATTAATTTCCCTATAGTATATATCTAGGTATTATTCCGAGGAAATGAAAAATCAACTTTACACTTTCTGGAGTACTGAATAAAAAAAATCTTATGAGGGTTTCTTTAAAATGGCGAAATCAGGGAACGTTATAACTAGATCTCTCGGGGGGTGGTTCAGCTGTACTATTGGAAAATATTTTAGATATATAATCGAGGGTACAGTATTAAATTAAAAGAATATCTAACCTGTAGATATTTGATATTGGGAAATTTTGGAAGCGAAAACGAAAACGGATAGTAAAAAATCGCCTGCAAAACGTTATTCTTTAAATTTAGTACTACCTATTATAGTATTCATGGTTTACTAATGTTCGTTAATTTTTATAAAGTTGCTTGTAATTCCTCTTAATTCTGTGGAATTCCTCTAAATTTCTAAAGGAATTCCTTGGAATTCATTGGAATTCTTACAGAAATAATTGGAATTCCTAGTAATTCCTATGGAATTCCTTGGAATTCCTCGTAATTCCTTGGAATTCCTGTAGAATTCCTTCATAGTGTACACCATAATTCCTCTGCCGTTTACCCCTCGAATATTTTTTATTTTAAAAACGGTCAAGTTTCCGAAAAAACTCTTAAACACGTATATTTTATTTTGTTGTTTTACATATTTTAAGATTTTTTAAAAATTTATACAGGGTGTTTCATAAAATATGACCATTGAGTAATCACGATTTTGCTTAAACTGTTTGACTTTAAAGCTGATTTTTGGCAAACGGGTTGACTGTGTGATGTAGAGGTTCGATAAGGAGGGGTTTCTCGAATCTCAAATTCCAAGAGGGTGATAACGCCCCTCAAATATTACAATATCTGTTATTTAAAAAACGGTTAGTCTTTCGGGAAAAAGCTTGGAAACGCAACTGTCGAACTGCAACTTAGTCAACAAGCCCTTTATAATTATTATTACTTTGCTGAAATTTTTCGATCTATATAATTTGTTTTGCCATCGGTACCAATCACCAGATCTAAATTCCCTTATGACAGGTTTGCCACCCATTCGAATCATTTTCGATTAATCCGTATAATGCTCGCAGCGACGCTAATGTTTTGCGCGCCCGGTATAACTTCATTATTTGGCTTTGTCGTTATCGCTAAATTTTATGGGTTTCATAAATTGAAAAAACCGTATAAATGTTCCGACACGAAGGGAATCAGCTTTAATGTTTTAAGTTTAAAGTCTTATTTCTAAACAAATATGGTAAAATTAACAACCTTAGCTCTTCTGGTACTTATGGTGTTAAACGCAAGTATGGTGTTAAACGCAAGTACATCAAGCCGTGCACCCGGTCCCAATCTCTTCAGAAGTGAAAACTGTATTAGAAAAGGAGACGTACATTTAAGAGGGAAGTGCAGAAAAACGTAAGTTTTTATACAGGGTGTTTCAAAACAAATGCGAAAAACTTTAGGCGGTGATTCCTTGTTCAAAATAAAGGGTAGTTTGCTTTATAAACGTTGGGTCAAAAGTCAACCATTAGGGAGATATCGCGGTACAAAGATGGCGGAAAAATAATGTTTTTATTTTTTATCTTGAAAACGAAAAGAGATAGACTAATGAAATTTTATGGAAGCATTACTGTTATGAAAACACACTTGCCTTTGAAATAAACTACCCCTATCATTCTTGAAAGAACGAGGGAAAATCTTATCAAACACATGCAAATGCTTTAATTTGATAGTTTAGTTTGTTTAGAAACTTTTTACCTCTTGTGTTTTTTGATAAAACTCACCAATTGGAAATTAAAAAATAAAATGTAAAGCATTACATGTCAGGACAAAAACATTTTTAGATTAAGAATCTAGTGATAATAACGATAATAATAATCATCTAGATAATAACGTATTGCAGTAGAGTAATGTCAAATAAAATAATATTAGGAACATCCTAAAAGTAACAGCAGCTGACTAGATTTTTTTCCTAAAAAAATTACAGCAGCCCACTAGATTCTTTATCAGAAAATGTTTTTTGTCCTGACATGTAATGCTTAACATTTTATTTTTAATTTCAAATCGGTGAGTTTTATCAAAAAATACAAGAGAAAAAAAGTTTCTAAACAAACTAAACTATCCAAATTAATTTTTTTGCATGTGTTTGATAAGATTTTTCTTTAAATTTCGTTAACAAGAATGATAGGGGTAGTTTATTTCAAACCCTTCCTCTCATTTTAAAAAAGTGAAAAAATCTCCAGAAAGTGTGTTTTCATAACAGTAATGCTTTCATAAAATTTTATTAGTCTATCTCTTTTCGTTTTCAAGATAAAAAATAAAAACATTATTTTTCCGCCATATTTGTACCGCAATATTTCCCTAACGGTTGACTTTTGACCCAACGTTTATGAAGCAAACTACCCTTTATTATGAACAAGGAATCACCCCTGAAGTTTTTCGCATTTGTTTTGAAACACCCTGTATAAATAAGAGTTTGATTTTTTTAAAAAATGTATGTATCTTCTTTTGGAATTTGCAATTTTTTTACACAAACTGCATTTTGAAACGTGCTGATCTCTATTTGTTATTTTATATATTTTTTTGTTGTTTCAGACTCCAGGGTTAGGAGCTTTTTCGAGGTTTCACATTCAAACACTATACCGGGCATCAATAAAAAATTGGACCAATTATACGTGTATAAAAAAATATTATAACAATATTAAATGTGAAACTAAAATACTTCTATTGTCCTTATTTATTTTTCCTTACACAACGTTGTAGTCAGAAGTATCACTGACCACTGACCGTTATTAAGTGTGAACTCATCTAAATTCTAAAACTACTGAGCTTAATATTCTAGAGCCGACCATTCACGATTCATTTATTCTTAAGGGCGTTGGTTAAATTTACTTAGTAACCGAAATGGTAGATTATTCTTTTTTAATTACGGTGCCGTGCAATGGCCAAGTCATTATACTTATTACAGAAATAAAGATGTCTAATATTGATACTAACAAGTTGTAACAAAATTGTTGAATAGGTGCTTAAAGAGAAACTAAATAAAATAAAATGACTTTGTTTTACATGAGATAGGTGCCCGGTGGCGTAGAGGTACAGGCTCTCGTCTACCAATCTCAAGGTAGTGGGTTCGTAACCACACCCGGTATTTGATCAGCCGACTATTTTTATTAAAATAAAGATAGTTTGGGTACCTAGGTCGACTCAGCCTTAAATGAGTACTTGGGATTCACAATCCTGAGGTAATAATAGGCGGTTGAAGCGTAGTGCTATAGCCACATTACCTTCCTTGTATACCGAACGGTCCCAGTATGGCAAGCTGTACCTTGCTACTCCCAAGGCGTTAAACGCTATATACGGGAGCTATTATTATTATTATTTACATGAGATTCCACAATTTTTTATAGTGGGAGAATTGTACTTCGAGACTTGGCATTTTTTACATTCTATGTTTTGTCTCATTTCTTTTTATGGGTTATCCTCCTACTTTTTTCTCGGGTAATATAATATAATTCAAAATAATATTAAAGAAGTTTGTCCAGAAATAATTCATAAATTTTCAATTATTGTATGGCTATGAAATGAAGATCGCTGTCATTTTAAATGTAAAATTATATAGAAAATGTCATCGATGTTATTATCCAAGCCAACCGAACGCCATTTTTTCTCATCCGCTGTATTTAAACAGTTGCTGTCGAACAACAACTGTTTAGAAATGTTACTGATTTTTTTACTCGTGTTTCCTTCTTCCTTACCGAATAAAGTTCTTTATTATTATTATTACTCTGCTGAAATTTTTCGATCTATATAATTTGTTTTGCTATCGGTACCAATCACCATAACATAAATTCCTTTATGACAGGTTTGCCACCCATTCCAATCATTTTCGATTGATCCGTATAATGCTTGCAGCGACGCTAATGTATTGCGCGCCCGGTATAACTTCATTATTTGGCTTTGTCGTTATCGCTAAATTTTATGGGTTTCATAAATTGAAAAAATCGTATAAATGTTCCGACACGAAGGGAATCAGCTACAATTTGAGTTTAAAGTCTTATTTCTAAACAAATATGGTAAAATTAACAACCTTAGTTCTTCTGGTAATTGTGGTAACAGTCTTAAACGCAGGTATGTCTACATCAAGCGATGTAGGGAGCAAGGGGGTCAATCGCCAGATCCTCGGCCATATTCCATGTAAAGAAGGATACATACGTATAAAAGGGCAGTGCATAAAAGCGTAAGTTTTTTATAAATAGATAGTTTGGGGTTTTAAAAAAATGTATCTTCTTTTGGTATCCCCCCAAAAAATGTTTTAGAGACTTTCTCATAACCGATTTTATTACCAATAATAATAGTTATGTTCTACATGATTTTCTTTTTCTCATATTGGTTCATTTTAGATTAGACACTTTTCTTATCAATTTTTCAAAAAGTCTACCAACTTGGAGACTGCACCCTCCATAAAGCTCTTCGTCAGTGGCTTATCAGTACAAAAAACCACACATTTGTCATAAAATGTAAAATATAATGTAAAAAAAACTACTGTTACAACAATTCGTGGCATTTTTTTACACAAACTGCATTTTGAAATCTGCTGGTCTCTATTTATTTGTTATTTTATCTATCTTCTTTGTTGTTTCAGATACAAATTCAGTGAATCCAACTAAACACTAAGCAGAATAATGTATACCGGGCATCAATAAAAAAGGACCGATTATACATGTATAAAAAAATTAGATTATATATATATATATATATATATTGTTTTTATTATAACAATATTAAATGTGAAACTAAAAGAATTTCAGACTTCCCCATTGTTTTTATTTATTTTTGCTTACACAATGTTTCGGTCAGAAGTATCACTGACCACTGACCGTTATTAAGTGTGAACTCATCTAAATTCTAAAACTACTGAGCTTAATATTCTAGAGCCGACCATTCACGATTCATTTATTCTTAAGGACATTTTGGTTAGATTTACTTAGTAACCGAAATGGTAGATTATTCTTTTTTAATTATGGTGCCATGCAATGACCAAGTCATTATAATTATTACACAAATAAAGATGTCTAATATTGATACTAACAATTTGTAACAAAATTGTTGAATAGGTGCTTAAAGAGAAACTGAATAAAATAAAATGACTTTGTTTTACATGAGATAGGTGCCTGGTGACGTAGAGGTACAGGCTCTCGTCTACCAATCTCAAGGTAGTGGGTTCGTAACCACACCCGGTATTTGATCAGCCGACTATTTTTATTAAAATAAAGATAGTTTGGGTACCTAGGTCGAGTCAGCCTTAAATGAGTTCTTGGGATTCACAATCCTGAGGTAATAATAGACGGTTGAAGCGTAGTGCTAGCCACATTACCTTCCTTGTATACCGAACGGTCCCAGTATGGCAAGCTGTACCTTGCCACTCCCAAGGCGTTAAACGCTATATACGGGAGCTATTATTATTATTTACATGAGATTCCACAATTTTTTATAGTGGGAGAATTGTACTTCGAGACTTGGCATTTTTTACATTCTATGTTTTGTCTCATTTCTTTTTATGGGTTATCCTCCTACTTTTTTCTCGGGTAATATAATATAATTCAAAATAATATTAAAGAAGTTTGTCCAGAAATAATTCATAAACTTTCAATTATTGTATGGCTATGAAATGAAGATCGCTGTCATTTTAAATGTAAAATTATATGGAAAATGTCATCGATGTTATTATCCAAGCCAACCGAACGCTATTTTTGTCGTTCGCTGTATTTAAACAGTTGCTGTCGAACAACAACTGTTTAGAAATGTTATTGATTTTTTTACTCGTGTTTCCTTCTTCCTTACCGAATAAAGTTCTTTATTATTATTATTACTCTGCTGAAATTTTTCGATCTATATAATTTGTTTTGCCATCGGTACCAATCACCAAACATAAATTCCTTTATGACGGGTTTGCCACCCATTCCAATCATTTTCGATTGATCCGTATAAAGGCTGATTCATGGTACACCGGGCCGTACCCGAGCCGGGCACGGACGCGCTCTGGCGAAGCTCGGCCCGTGCTCGGCTTAGCATGAATGCATACGTATAAATAACATTTGACAATATTTGGCCGTGCCTTCACCGTCGCACGGCCCCGGCCCGTCACGGTGTACCATGAATCAGCCTTAATGCTTGCAGCGACGCTAATGTATTGCGCGCCCGGTATAACTTCATTATTTGGCTTTGTCGTTATCGCTAAATTTTATGGGTTTCATAAATTGAAAAAATCGTATAAATGTTCCGACACGAAGGGAATCAGCTACAATTTGAGTTTAAAGTCTTATTTCTAAACAAATATGGTAAAATTAACAACCTTAGTTCTTCTGGTACTTGTGGTAACAGTCTTAAACGCAGGTATATCTACATCAAGCGATGTAGGGAGCAAGGGAGTCAATCGCCATACGCTCCTCGGCCATATTCCATGTAAAGAAGGATACCTACGTAAAAAAGGAAAGTGCCTAAAAATGTAAGTCTTTATATAAATAGATAGTTTGGATTTAAAAAAAAATGTATCTTCTTTTGGTATTTCCCCCAAAAAATGTTTTAGGGTTTTTCTCATATACTGATTTTATTGCCAATAATACCAGTTATGTTCTACAGGATTTTATTTTTCTCAAATTGGTTCATTTTAGATTAGACATTCTCCAGTCTTATTTTTTTTTTGAAAAAGTCTAGCAACTTGAAGACTGTACACTCCATAAAGCTTTTCGTCAGTGGCCTACCAGTAGAAAGAACCGCACATTTGCCATAAAATGTGTTTCTGTCGTTTCTTCTTGAGATTGACTGAAATCTGCACATGTTCCAAACAGGTTTAGAGTTTAGATGCCTGTTCAGCTTACAATGTCCTATTAGTAAACCCACTACAGCTTTAACAATCTTTCCGTTTTTGCTTACATTATTTTTCAATTCTTTGCAATTTTTTAACACAAACTGCATTTTGAAACGTACTGATCTCTGTTTGTTATATCTATTTTTTTTGTTGTTTCAGATTCAAGAATTAGGATATTTTTGGAGGTTTCACATTCAAACACTATACCGGGCATCCATAAAAAAATGGACCCAATTATACGTGTATAAAAAAATATTATAACAATATTAAATGTGAAACTAAGAGACTTCCGTTGTCCTTATTTATTTTTCCTTACACAACGTTGTAGTCAGAAGTATCACTGACCACTGACCGTTATTAAGTGTGAATTCTAAACCTAAAACTACTGAGCTTAATATTCTATAGAGCCCACCATTCACGATTCATTTATTCTTAAGGACATTTTGGTTAAATTTACTTAGTAATCGAAATGGTAGATTATTCTTTTTTAATTACGGTGCCGTGCAATGGCCAAGTCATTATACTTATTACAGAAATAAAGATGTCTAATATTGATACTAACAAGTTGTAACAAAATTGTTGAATAGGTGCTTAAAGAGAAACTAAATAAAATAAACTGACTTTGTTTTACATGAGATCCCACAACTTTTTATAGTGGAAGAATTGTATTTCGAGACATTTTTTACATTCTTTGTTTTTGATGGGATCTCATTTCTTTTTATAGGTTATCCTCCTACTTTTTTCTCGAGGAAAATAATTCAAAATAATATTAAAGAAGTTTGTCCAGCAATAATTCATAAACTCTCAATTATTGTATAAAGTCAGATAATAATATCAAATGGATTAACTCTTCTTTTCTAACGAATTGCGCGTTTCCGACTTTCGTTATAACCCAAATTTCAACTTTAAATATGTTCAAGTCACCATTTTACCAATGCTTAATCAAAATCATGTTTTTGCCAATTTTACACATATTTTATTGTTTATCCCGAAAACTATAAGATAGGTATAGAAAAAGAAGAAAAATCATGAGATATGAAAGTAGTTTCCAAAAATGTAATAATATACTAGGTGTTCCATTTAAAATAACAAATATGCTACCACCTTTCAAATGATCCGACAACACCCAGACAACCCAGGGTCGTTCAACAAAGTTGAAGAGGTAATATTTTGACCAACTGTATAACAAGCAATCTAAATGAAAGAAAGGAACCTACGTTAGGTTAAAAATATTTTTATTGTGATACTAGTGACATTAGTGTAATACTAGGTGTTCCATTTAAAATAACAAATACGCTACCACTTTTCAAATGATCCGGGGACACTGTAACGCTGATAATATTTTAGATTATATCAATGAAATGAGAATATCAAATCTTGCGTAAGTTTATTCTTTTCGGTTCGACACGATTTTTATGCGCAGACCCCAAATAAAACGATCTGATTCTTAGACAAGGAAAGAGAGGGGACAGGTAACACGGCAGCTGAAAGTGAGGCAAGTTGTCACCACGCGAAATTCTCCAATGACGTAGCATCAGAAATTAGCTTGTGCCTAGACGGAACAAAATATTTATTAAAACGTAAACTAATATATCGTTCATTTTTGAGTAATGCATATACAATTTTGAATTTTATAGTCTCGCCTTTATAATATTAGAATATCTAAGTCGATAATGCAAAATGTATTTAACAGTTACAGTGGACTGATTATCAAGACAATTATTTATTTATTAACGTGTGTATAATGTATAATTAAATAAAAAATAATGTAATAACCAGGGGCGGCTTGTCCTATGAGGCAGATGAGGCAGTGCCTCACCAATACATTTGAAGAATTACACGTATTAATCGATACATCTTTAATCACAATTTTATATTTTTTTCCCTATTTGCATCAATAATAATTGTTTTTTTTTATCCGTCATTCTACAATAAATTACGTCGATGGTATTTCTTTAAACGCGCTTCCTTTTCCATATGCGACAAAAGGTTGTCGCCCACTAGACCGCTGCGCGGCGCGGCGCTGGGAAGAGAATTTTTTCCGGCTGCGAAGGGACTGCGCCCACTATAGCGCGCTTTTGAAACGCGGCAACGCTATTTAGTTATAGTCGAAGTGTCTTTTACTTACTGTAGTTTAGTTTTTAAAGCAATGAGTTCAAGTACGAACGAAAGCGTATTTTTTGTGCTCTTCTAACAGAGGAAGAGGAAGAGGGGGTGAGGAAAAGTTTGGACTCATACGATTAACGAAAAAAGAAAGAAATTTGGAGAATTTTACCATCTTTTTCCAGATTTAATAAAAGACAAAATCATTTTTTTCAGTATTACAAAATATAAAGGAAACATTTACGCACTCTCCTCAATTGAGGGTTTTAGAAGAAAAAACACCGGGTATATCTACTCATCATATTTTTTCAGAAGAGACAAATTACTAATATTTTTGATAATTCTTATTTATTCTGATGTGTATATTAGTTATGTGGTCAAAAAAAACCCTGATCTTTTTTATATATTTAGGTAATTAGAATTTAAAAATTGGAGATTGTCACTTTTGTTAAAAAGTGGAGATTGCCAGTTTTGCCTCTACACCCCTCAATTATATTAAATCTTTGATAGAAAAGCATTTCGTCCATCTGTCTCTAGTGAGGGAAGACTAAAAAAAATATCATATTCCTTTATGAAAATCGATTTGCCTAATTTACCTTTAAAAATACAATTCTGCCATTAATACATATCACTAGTTCCTAGTCAAAAAGCCAACTGAAAAGACTCGAATGCAAAATTATCTGCCTTGTGAGTACGCACACTGCAACGCGTCGAAACGCGGGAGACGGAAAAAAGTTGCTAGAGAAGTCTTCCGACTTCTTGACGGAAATTCCGTGGCGCGCTTCTGCGCTGCGCGCTCTAATGTGCGTTGGTCCATTTAAATACATGGCAAGCAGACAAAAGAAATTTCCACATGGCGCCGCGCCGCGTCGCGCCGCGGTCTAGTGGGCGACAACCTAAACTCGACGATATATATATCCATCTCATTTGTTCTTTAAGAAGTATATGTGCAGAGGTTTGCCTCTCGCCTTTCCTTGTCTAACGTATTGTGGTATATCGCATTGACGGAGCGACAGCGTTCATTGGAATCTTAAATCTATAGAATGAAAAGAAAAAGCATAGGCAAAACCTTTAGTTGAAGAGAGATAAAAAGTATGGAGTAGTAGCGCGTAAAAAGACCGTATTGATGCGAGCCTCAAATGTAAATTTAAACCTTAAAAGCCGTTCGTTAAAAATATGTACCACTTCCCGATCAGTCCGAGAGATTTTAGGCGACAGGCTGAAAATGCAGAATTGTATTATTTGGGAATTTGTATTAGTTTGAATCACAGTTTGAATTAACTCTGCCGGTTATTGCACTGTTTTGTCTCTAATTGATTAATATATACGTTTTTTAATGTGAATTGCATGTTTAATTACTCGTCTTACTGATTACAACCTATTAAGTAAATACCTAAAAAGTGGGCAGTGACTTGTTGATTGATATGATGATTTAGAGGGACCATGCATCATCAGAGGTAAAGTTTTTCGAATTCGAATCATTTCTAGATAAATTGTGTACTCGTATAGTCAAAAAGTAAAGCAACCTGTTACAGAGATTTCATTTTGTTTTATTTTTATAGGATGGGTAGAAAAACAAAATTTTACCATACAGAGTAAAATATAAGACAAAATATCCTGAGCACGCTTTGATAAAACTTTAGTGTTGCAATAGCCTTTGTAATAGGTACCGTATGATCGAAAAAAAACGGCGTCCAGTTGGCTTGAAAATGACGATCGATAACATTTCCCATATAATTTTACATGTAAAATGACAGCGATCTTCACTTCATAGCCATCGCTTACGCCGTTTTTACTCGATCATACGGTATAATACTGTGAATTATATTACATAAGGCTTAAGGCAACTGCTAAAAGTTTAGAAATATTTTAAATACAAAAATGTTTGCTTTTTAAGTTTGTAGGTATCTAAAATATTAAAAATAATATACAGTGTGTATTGCATTTAAAAAATTGAGATATAGCATTATAATATTGCAATGTTGGCCGTGCCATAAAAAAATCCCTGTATAAAATAATGTAAATTTTTCTCTGATTTCTTCTTTTGTCCTAAATACCTCGCTATATACGTACTTAAGCAATAATATATCAATAAGTCAAATTCACTCCAGGTTTTTACCACTTTTTAAAAAATGACATTTTTCAAATATGAATTATCATGGAAATCCCGCATATATAGTGCTTCAAATAAATCAATAGTGTGATCTATTCTGAATTTTATGCTGAACCCAATTCTGCAAAGAAAAATGGTAATGCGATTGCAATTTTAAACAAAATATTTTTTTAGGATATGCACTTTTTTATATAGAACTTTTTTTTCATATATTTGTCAACTCCGAAGATATTGAACTTCCTCGTACTAATGGTCACCCTATATAGATACTAATAAAAATTCTCTTCTAATGTGCCTCACCATCTTCCAGTGCTACGAGCCGCCCCTGGTAATAACATATATTTTAAACGTGTATATACATATCTACTGTATGATTTTTTAGTACCGATATTTTATGTAATATTGATAAATATGTTTGACATTTAATAACTTCCAAGTTTATTACAATAATCGATTTTTTGTCGTAAAAAGAATTTTATTTTTTCCACAACATAAAATAAAATTATTATAACTATAAGGTAAATAATTTTTGATTACAAATTAAACGTCACAGTTCAAATTAATTTTAAAAAATAGTTTGTATCCAGAGCTGCAGAAAACTTAAGTCATTTGATTTTAAGTCATTTTTCGAAAGCTGAATTAAGACTTAAAATTTAAGTCTTTTTTAAAATGACTTGTGACGTCTTTATTCAAAAATATAAAAAGATTTAAGTCTTTTTCGAAAAAGTCTGAAAATGACTTGACTTGAAATAAAATAATGTAAGTCAAAGACTTAAGACTTCATAATCATCTAAATCATTTAAACTTTATGTTGAATTTTTGTTGAATGTTGTTGAAATTATGTTGAATATGTTGAATGACTTAAACTTAAGTCTTTGTAAAACTGACTTGTTGCAGCTCTGATTGTTGGGGTTGGTCGGCCAGTAAGCAAAGAGTGTTATTTTTTCTGCTTTTAATCCGTCATTTTGTATAACTTTTAATTTTTTTCCTCTATATCTGTCGCTGTATTTTATATTATTTAAGAGAGCGCTTTAATACTTTAATTGATTTTGAATAGGTATCGGCGAGAG